GTTTACTTCATCTCAAGTATACGCGAAGAAAAGAATGATTCAATGCCATGTTTGAAACAAATAAAAATTTATCGAATATTATTTATAATAATAATCAATGAATGTTTTCAATCAGCATATGATTATCAAAATGTTGAACTTAATATATATTCTATACTTTCTAAAGCTTCTTATTGTTTAGTGACATTATTGATAGGAATATGTTGTATTTAATGGAATGCTTAAGTCTATCGATTTCCGTTTGTTTTTTTTTTCTTCATCATTTACTTTCTATTTTCATTAATTCTTTAATATCTCCTACTATATTATTCTGTCATACTTATTTTCAAGAGTATTGAATTTTCATCTATTTATATGCTTAACTTTATAAATCTATACTGAAACTTAAAGATTATTACATTTCAAATAAATAAAGTAGAAGAAGAGAAAAAGAATGAACGAACCATCATAGCAACAATAGAAAATGATGATACATTTTTTGCACATCGTTCTCTAGCTGGCATATATTGTTCTACAACACCAGTTATTGGATTAATACGTGTTGTTCGCACTTTACGTTTAAAATCTGGTCGTGGTTCGTTTAAATCAGTTCGTCCATTTCCACCATCTATTAAATCAAATGTATCCCATTCATACTAAAGACAAGACAAAAAAAAAACTAATAATTCTTTATCTATCATAATATTCTTTTGAGATTTACTTGAAATTGATATTCTGCAACATCCCAAGCTGGAAGAAATAGAGCTGACCATACAGTTATTATAGCTGCATAACCAACAGTTGCTTTATTATCAAATAAAAATGCCATCTAAATAAAAGAATTATATCCTATTTTTTTGGATAACCAAATCATTTCTGTACTTTGGCATAAAGACAATCTTCACCTAATGTCCATAATTGTCGATGTGATCTTGGACACATAACTGTATGTGCTAAATTATAACAAATATCATTACTACAAATAAAATATAAATATTTATCGATATCATATAATAAAATAAGCTTACTGACGTGGGTACATCATGTTTTACTGCCAAAAGACCATAGAAAAAAACTGAAAGACCAAGTAAACAAGGAAGTATTAACATTTGAATATACCTTGAAAGAAACAAAACATAAACTTCAATCTAATGATTAAAAATTAAATATTAAAAAATCAAACCATCGTAACCAACAAAAATATAATGCAACATGTTCACCAAAATAATCTTTTATATGATTAATTGGTTGATCTTTAAAAACATTACTTATACGACTCCAATACCACCATAATTTCTATATGGAACGAAAAACTCAATACACAATAAAATTCAAAACAAAATTATACAAACCATTCTATCAAATGTATTTCGATGTTCACCTTTCGTCATAATCCAAGATGGAACCATATGTGGTTCAATATTTTTTAATAATGGCTAATAGATATTAAACAATTAAAAGAAAAATTTATTTCAAAATCATATTCTTACTGCATGTAATGGATAACAATCATCATAAACTTGATCACGAAGAAGAAGTTCAATACCTAGAAAGAAACAAGTTTTAAAATTCATTAATATCCGATTTTTTCTTCATGTCACTATCTAGTCAGAGAGGAACAAGGGCATAAATCTTAAGACTTCCTCTTCTTTTTTACCTGGAGACTTTGTTTCTTTTCTCTATGCGTATCTCTGTTTCCTAATTAACTTGCCAATCTATCTATATAAAACCGAAACAGTTAGTACGTTTTTTTTAATATTAAGTTAGAAAATGAAAATCTTGATACCATCTCGAATTTTCGAAAGAATAATGTTATATTCAGTTTATATATATAACATTTAGAAAGATTTTTAACGGAATTTTTTTGCTCCTGACTACCTGCAATTAGAACTAAAATTCAAGGAAATTATATGATAGTTGAATACTAATAATAGTCTAATAATTCACGAACGTGTTATTGAAATATGAAAATACAATCAACAAAATGATGTTGCTGATATTTTTATTTTTAGTTCATGAACAAACTCGATTTACTTTTCAAATTATTTACTTTACCTGAACTTGTTGAAAATGCAGTAAAAAGTTTTTCTAATTCCAACACACGTCTTTCTTTTGCGTCACCTGTCACATGTATATCTAAAGAAAAAAAGAAAATAATTAATTCAATTATTTACATGATCAATAAATGTTTATTCTATTAACTTTGTTGTTCTTCAATTTCTGTTGTTATATCAAATGGTGTACGTAATAAACAATCATAAACAAGACGACTTCGTTGAGCTGGTGTAAAATATGAATCACGTGAATTACCACGTAATGTATCAAATAATGGTTCAAATCTTATATAAAGTAACAAATATATCAAATAAGATTGAACTTCTCTTTTTCTTTGTTATGCATACCGATATCTTAATGTTTTATCATATTCAGCAAGGAAATAATATTGTTCAGGTGGAAACATAGTCCGATCAATTTGTGTAAATGGTAACCATGACATAAAATAATCAAATGGTCTTTTAGGAACACATGGTGTGCGATTTTCCTAAATATAGAAATGAATTATTTATATAAAATAAAATAAAATAAATAAATAAATATATGATATCATCTATTGATGTAGATTATTTTTTTTTTCGCTTGAATGAAATATGTTCTATTTGTAGATTCTTTCTCTCATTAGAAACATGCCATTTCGTGATATGTAAAATGAAGTAAAAATAAATCGGAATTTCCCTTAAGGCAAACAAGTAAAAAAGAGACAGCAAAGAAAACAAATAAGAATAATATATCATTTTATCGATGAAAAATATCTTTTCTTTGATTCTTTTTTTTTATAGTTTTACTTCGATTGGTAATTTCATTCGTGTTTTTTCGGCTAGTTCAAGTAGAAGTTCAAATGATGCATGAAGACGAACAAAACGTTTAACAGATTGTTGTTGTGGATATTTAGATTGACGACGATGACGATTAAATAGACCATTCACAGTTATTTCATTATTTTCATGTTTAACATCATCGTGTCTTGATTCCTAATAAATTTTAACGAACAAAAGGTATCAATACGAAAAAAAAAATTTCAATAATTTATATGTACCAATCCACCAACAATATCTTGTTCTTCAATCTCAAAGCCAACTGATTCGAGTTTTTGTTGAAATGCTTGTCGACGTTGTTTATTTATTGCTGAATCACGAACTCCAAGACTATAGACAAGTACAAAATCGATGCGACGACGTTGTCGACAATCATTATTATTGCCGGTACTTGGGGTTGTCAAGTAGAGTTGTCGATCGGCCTCTTCAAGCCAATCAACAGGGCGCTAAGAAAAAAAAACCAATAATTTTTTTCGTACTTATTGCAAGTGATAACTAAGAAATCGTAATGAATTCAACTCTTATTAGTTATTACACAGGAAGGAAGATAAAAAGAACACATATAGTATATACATGCAAGGAAAAAACATAACATGCATATTCGCATATTTTCTTTAACTTACCAGCCGTAATAAAGTTCGACGACCACCACCACCACCGCTAATACTACTACTACCAGATTTATTACTCATTAATGATTGATTGATTTTTATCGATAATTTATATCAATGGCAATTGTATCTATTAAGTTAGACAAACGTGATAGGAAGGAATAGTGATCATTGTCCTATAGTGTCTATATGCGTGTTTACACGGCCAGAATAATTAAAATGACTCCGTCTGTTTTCAGAACGGCTTCTTCCACTATTACTTCTTTTTCTCTTTTTTCTTCTATACCCGTTATTTGTGCTTCATTTTTTGAACATGTAGTGAGACGATAGTGTCTGAATGAATGCGCACGCATAGGAGAGAGAACAGGAGACAGAAACCGACTTTGACGTTAGTCTCGAAAAACAATACTCGTATATAGAGAAAGAGAAAGAGAGCACGTAGAAAAAAGGAAATGTTAGAAAGCGTAAGAAATAAAAAAAGTATATAAAGCTTTCATATATATATATAGTTACTGGTTGGCCAAAGTTATGATCAAAAAACAAGAAAATTCTCACGGGTACTATACAACCATATTGATTAATAATCATCAAAACAGAATGAGGTTTACAATTTTATACGAATAAGAATCCGTATTGTTTACCAACGATCTGAATAAATAGAAAGAAGATTAAATACGAACGAATAATTCATTTTAATATTTGAATTTGACAATATTCAATATCATTTTGATTATTTTATTAAAATTTATATTATATCATAGAAATATTTCAATAAATTGAAAAGAAATCAACTCTAATTTCATTGCATTTATTATCGAACAATATAAAGCCAGAGAAAATAATTTCAATTTATTGTTTTACTTATTAATCAGTATTCTCAATGCTTTATACGCTTTCAAAGGAATAGATTTTCAGAGGATTTATTACTATAGGGAAAAGTTAACCTTTCCTTTTCTTTTTTTCTATTATCGACCATTACAACATGCAAGATTAACCATTCATTGTTTCTTGTTGTCAACAAAATATATTGATATGATAATGTACTTTTTTCTTATTACTCAAACAATACGAACACTATCAATTATAATCAATCATTATAGTCCTTGTGCAATGATTATATTAAAAAATACTTTTAGTTTTCGTTTCAAGCAAGTTCTATAAGTCAAATTGTATTTATTGGAGTTTTTTCTCTTGACGAAAGGATAATCACGCACTCATATTGTAATAAAAAAAATGTGTTTCTATTGTTCTTGTTGTGCGCTTCTTATAGAATTCTTTTTTCTTATTCAGTAAATTTTGTATTTTAAGTGATGCGTCATGTTTAATAATCGAGAGAGAATGAGTAACGAAGAAAAAAAAAAGGGAAGGATACGTTCTTCGACCTCCACCCGATGCAAACTAAAAAAAATTATTCTCCTGTGATATGTATGTGTCGATTGTTGATTTTATTTGAAATGAATGAAAAAAAAACGTATGACTACTAAAAATCTATCAGAACACATACATATTCAGTTTCATTCTCGCAGAAAAAGAAAGGATGTCGTCAAATAATTACGACACAATAAACAAAACTTTGTCGGTTGGTGCTATTGTTGCTATTGTGGTCTCTTCAATTATTGGTCTTATTATATGCGTTACATTCATTATCGTGGTTGTATGTATAATCAAATTTTGTAATCGACCAAGATATCCAATACACCAAGGAATAGTTTTACAATCCCCATATCAATATGTTAGTGATGCGTCACCTCAGTATCCATCTAATATGACTAGTGTTTCTAACTATCCACCATCGTATTCAACAGTTCCTCCGCCTTATAATGCTCCAGCCTCGGATTATACCAAACCACCATACACATAAATATGGGCTTTTTTTGTTATCAATAACTTACATATGATCGCGAATGTAAAACAGTATTTGTCTTTCTTGTCATGAGTGTGACACTGCATTTATCTTTGTTATTGACACTATATATGATAAATGACAAAATAATGACAAAAAAAAGAAACTTTTGAATGTAATTCTTAATTCTATTGTATTATGACTTTTACATATTTATATATACGTTATTTTATATCCTGATTAAAAATATATATTAATAAATAGAAAAAGTTTTATCAAAACAAATTTTTAATTACATTTGATTTTCATGAATGCATAGAATAGTAGGCACAATATATAAATAATTTCTACTATGCAAATTAATTGGAAGACAATGCAAGGACTACGTTTTCTTCCGATTACAGCGAGAAAAAAAAACAAAGAATAATAAATATTGAATTATATAAAAAAAGGTATTTGAGCAATAAAAATGAAATTTTATCTTTTAACTTAAATTGAATTTTTCTTTGTTCGAAAAAATTTTATTTACAAATTAAATGTATCATTAGCTATTTTCCAACAGAAAAAATGATTACTTAATTTATTCATCATGGTAATTTTAAATTGAATTCTTTAAGAATTATGATTTTGACAAGATAAGCATCAAATTTAATTATTATCCAGATGAATTCATATTTCATTTAATTTGTTTTACTTATCAATCAACAATATTAATCTTATATGACATCCTATTAAAGTGTTTTAAATAAAATCTAATAGTTACGAGAAAAAAAGGAACTGATATATATATATATATTTTTCTAATCTATTTACTACACAAGCATTATATTTCATAGTAAAATATATGATATTCTATAGATGAACAATGAATTCATTGTGACAAAATGACTCAATAATTAATGTGAAGAATTTCCGTCTTGCATTCATTGTAAGCGGATATTTTAGAAGAAAAAAAACAAGATCTATGAACCCGTCATAATGAACATATTCATATTCATAGAACATCATCTTCATTGGTGATGTCTATTACTAGTTACAAATACTAGTGACTCTAAATACTATCAGTAGTAGTTTTACTTTGTTTTGTGAATAAAGGAAAAGAGAACTGACATATGTGTTTTTATTAAAATAACTAAGAAAGCATATGAATGTAAATTACCGTTTTTAGTATGAACAAGATCAATTTTCCTGTTTTTTTTTTGAGTTATTTTTCTTTTTCGTATAAATGTTCTGAGATTATAATAATTCATGATATTTAAGTATGTTAAAGTGATTCTCTAGTTCTAGATGTTATTATTCCTAATAGACAGTATTTATTTTCATGTGAATATTTTTACAAATGAAATATTTACTTAGTAGGCTACAGAAATCCTATATTAAGGTTGAAACCAAGGGATACATCAACGATTGACAATTTTAGAAGACATCGTTAAAACTTTGTTAATTTAGAGAACTTTTCATATAGGAAAAAAGGAAAAATAATAAACGAAAATACATGGATAAAAAAAATTAGACAAAAACACATCGTTGATGAATGATCTAGAAAATCGAAAACTTTAAAAATTCTACTATCTATTTGTTTCTTTGTTGCGGTAGTAATGAGTGAGATATTTCAAAAATTTCTCAGCTATCAGTGAGATGACTGCCTAGTTGATTGGAATATATCACTAATCATATGTCAACAACGTTTCATATGTAAAACAGATTTGTTAATGCAAATGTTTTTTTTGTTTGCATCATCTGGTTCACATCTTATATGAATAAAAGCTTCAAATCTCAACTATTTTTCCTATGAAATAATCATTGAAATAACAAAAAAAAAATTTGTATTCTTTTACAATATATATTTGTTTAGACTGAAAAGACATGAAATAATACTTTTATCCTGAAGATTCTATCTAATGGAGATAAACCAGAAGAAAACTAAAGCTATCGTATTAGCTTATATATTTTTGGACATCTTTTCCAATGACACTTTTAATAATATCATTATAGAATAAGATCAATTACTCTTTTTCCTTCCTTTTTTTCTGATAGATGCACGAAATTAATTAGAAATTTTCTTGTCACGAGATCTCCTATTCACAAGATTGATACTTCATAACAAAGACCTTCATCTTTATTTTATTTTTGATATGTAATGGAAAGTATTTCTTCCCAGAAAACACACATATACTACAGTGAAGCAACCTAGTAATGAAATATCAATGTTTATCATGATTATTAACTTCTTCATAATTATTGAAAATGCGAATCATTTTAAGATACATTTACAGACACTTTGTTTTCCTGCGACACAAAAACTGATTATTAAGCAAACAAAAAAAAGCAATTCTTGTGAATATTTTTTTTGTCAGCTACCAAAAATAATTGACTTTAGTTTTTCTCTACAAAAACTCTTGTGCTTATAAACTATAAATAATACTCTTAGATATTTGTTTTAATTTGTCTTTTGAGTATCTAAGTGCCATTATGATCAAATGAAATATATATATTTGAGTATTACAATAGACGAAAAGCTCGAAAAAGGATTATAGTGATTTTGTCAAGCATCGTTTTTCTTTATTCTAGAAAAATGAGATCTATAACAATTCTATTCAAATCCCATTATGTCAACAAAATGAATGAAACTTTTAACTCGTAACATTTTCAATCAAAGTGTTAGGTTATTTTTTTCTCTCACACTTTTTCAATGTCAATACAATGTTTTCTTCATTTCTCAAATTATTTCTATTCAAGAATATCAAACAATCAGGCTATGACTTGACTTCGACATGTCAATCTCTTTTCTTCCTCCAACAGTTAGCAACCTTGTTGTTGTTATCAGTTATTAGGTTGAAAAATAACATACAGTAGGATTTTGCTCATTTTTTCCAAAAACACAAAAATGAATTGTATTTTTCTCAATCAAATAATAAATAAAAGGAAAAAAAGTTTCGTCTCATCAAAAAGTAACAACTAAGCAATATTTTCCTATCAAAAAAACTCTGATCTTTAGTTTAAGAAACATGCGAAAATGTCTCTTACGTTAAAAAAAAAAAAGTTTCATTATTGAAGAGTCATCACGAGAACGGTTTTCTCGAGTGGCAAAATGCTTCTAAAAAAAAGTATCATACAATGTAGTCGATGACAATCTAGTTATTGGAAAAAATACTCAGACAGATCAATAGAATTTCAGATGAAGCTCACACAGAAAACTCGGTTTTTCAAAGTAATATGACTTGTACTAATACAATTAGGTTTTATAATACTGAATGTTTGATTTTGACAAATTTTGATTCATCGTATTTTCTGACGAGCATGGTTTTGATCTATAGTCGCTACTGTGAACATCAATAATGTTCTATAAATATTAAGATACTTTTTAATTCTGTCGAAGTGCTTTTACACCATAAATAACAAAATGAAAAATAATAATTTGATTGCAAAAAGAATTAAATTTTATCTTCTAATCTTGATTAACACACAATTCGATCTCACAAAGAGTTGTCGGACTCAAACATAAAACATTTTTCTTCTGAGTTAGATTAGTGTAAATTTCTATAGACGCTCTCTCTCAGTGCAAATTTTAACTCTTCACTCAAGAAAAATTCATACATTTTACAACTAGTAAAAACTATAGAGCTTTACAAGAGAAACCTTTTCTAAATATCAGTTAGACCTAAATATAAAAATAAAAATAAAGCATTAATGTATTTCAATGATACTCCTGCATCGCATAAAAAACAAATGCCAATAATAATAAATCATATTAATATCATGGAAATGAATTGTTGTTAATAAAGAACTGATATGAACAGTGTAAACTGCATATTCTAAGCGACCTAACTTTTTAAAATTTTTCAAAGAGAACAGTTTACTCTTAAAATTAAAAGGTTCTTGTAAATAAACGATAGTCTTTATGCCGGTGGAATGCTGATGAAGACATTTTACTTTTCAAGTTTAATAAGAAATTTCATTGTATATTTCATGTTGTTTTTACAATCATTAGAAATTTATGACTTTATTAAAGTCATGATCATTATGATAATGAAATTTATGAAATGTTCAGATAAATTATTGAAATAATTGCTGATTTATAGTGTGTAGAAATTGTTTTTGTAAAAGAAATATAATTGTGATCATGTTAACTTGGATCGGATCAAACATGCACAGGAAGCTAAACGACAGCGTTACACCTGGCTCCAACAGATGGAAGCTTAGGTAAAGCGAGCATAGACAATTATTGGTACATTACAGATTGAATGGATGTAGAAAAAGTGACCTAGTTTAGAGACCTACTTGCAAAATCGCTGTACATACTTGTTCTCTTTAAATTCAACTGTATTGTAGACGCAGAAAAAAATGCATAACTAAAAACATAAAGTTTGTTGTTAGTTAAACATGACACTTTGTCGAATAAAGTATTTATATAAAAAGCCTTCTTTAACTCTCTTAATGAAAATAACTTTGAAGGGTAGACCCTCATTAAGAAGAATAAATAATTGACAAAGTATAATGTGTGAATAAAAGAAAATTAATTCGTGCGATTGGTTGGCTCTATAGAAACTTCCTATTATGTGGCTTTTTTTTTTATGTATATTTGTGATTCATCGGTTCCATTTTCAATTATATAAAAACAGAACAAAAATAAATTCAAGGTGGGACCCATCGTACAACGCATGCATAGAATTATAATTAAAACATGGTCACTTCATATAACGATTCAGTTGATCAAAGCATTCCAACTTCAGTCACTATAATTATTGTAATTGTTTCCATGCTTGATCTTCTCTTTCTTATTGCATGTATGGTGTTTATTATATGTCGAATCAAACATTGTAATCGACCAAGCAACAAAATAGTAGCTGGTCAAATTCTTCAGCAATATTCAACAAGTCCAAATCATTCACCAGAAGATTCACCAGCATATTTAACATTCTATTCATTTCATTCTTCTTCTGGACTCGAATTTAATAAAGCATCTATACTATGAATATATCATTGATAAAAAAATCTACAATTCGACAAGATAACCATGTTCTTTTCCTCTATAAAAAATTTTTTTTTTTATTTTGTGATTGGACATTTATTAATTCTATTGATAGTACCAGGTTGCAAGATAAATCATAACTTTAAGAATACAAGAAATACAAACGTTCCGTATCATTCTTCTATTTTTTCTCGCAATCATTTTTTGAAAGTTTTGTGTGTTATTTTCATTTTTGCGCAGTAGATCTATAAAAATCTGTTGCTGTCAACAACAAAAAAAGCACAAGTATTCATGACTATTTTGTCGATCGCACACTGCACTGAAAACTATGCCTTTAACATCGTTTTATACTTTTGATGAATTTTTTGTTCAAAGAAATGAGCATAGCAAACAAAGAGTAATATTGAAGTGACTTTTGATGTAGCTCGCATAGAGAAAGAAAAATAAAAACAGAATCGTTAAATGAAAAAAAAACGTGAGAACTACTCTCTGATATTGCAGAGAACCATGAAAAAGTCTTCAGAATCTATAGATAGAGGAGAGCTATATTATGGGACAAGCTATTAATACGACTTCATGTGCACATATTACCAAAAAAAATGACTAAACCACTCACACTCATATCCGATATCATATTACTACGAGCAGCAGATATATGGATTTATTAAACTATGATGATGTTCAAATACTCATTCCCAGACAATGTGGTGGTTACTGGGTATATAGTGGCTATGATCTCGGGTCTTGACGAAAGATGGATATGAACTCTAAATATTCTTGTTAATTATGAGTATTTGACATGTGCAGAAACATTTTTTGTACACAAGTGATGCCTGAACAAACCTAATATAATAACGTCTGTGAAGCTTTACTGGAAAAACTGCAATTGTCTGGATATAAGAGAAATCCCGAAGGCTTGTAATGTGACGATGAAGTTTCTATTTCAAGAAGTAGTTTATGGATTAAATAAGAAAATCTTTCTGAATCAATATATACAGATAAGTATGCTTTTCAGAACTTTTAATGAACAAAAAAGAACCATAAAAATAACCTGATGAAACAAGGTCTACGATTAATATTATCTGAAAATGACTTAAATTGAGAATCTATATGCATCAGCATTGTCTTGTAACTGGAGAGATACTTTGATGTATAACTTCATACAGTCTAAACAAAATTACTGGACTAATATGATAATTACAGAAATTGACTTCGAGTCTAACAGGACATATTCATAGTAGTATTTATAAAATTATAGTTAACAGAATTATTACCAGACAAAACAATCATTCTCTGTAAGTTACAGCTTAGAAAAATAAATATATGTAGCCATTTTGCTCGCGCTATTTTCATATCAGATGATACTACAAAATAAAAATTGATATGCCGATGACGAGTACTTTTATGATTAACATTTGCAATCCTTTCCTATTCAATTAGTTCGCCATCGACTGTGACGAAAATACTAATAGAAAAAAATGAGATTGTGTTAAGTTTTGACTAAATTTCAAGAACTAATTCAATATGTAAGGAATCGTATATTTCACTCAGAATGGACTATCTTGTCTTGTAACTCTAGAGCATTGAACATCTTCGGATGAAAATAAAGGTCTCATTGACAAACTCACGAATTTAAAATCTGACGTGTCTAAGCCGAGATATAGGAATTTTAAGATAGTAACCACATCTATACATATGTTGTCTCCAATCGAACGTTTCGGAAGATGTTTTTATTATTTTTGATAATGGTTGAATAGAGCTCATCGAGTTGCCTAAGAAAAAATCATGTATCAAATTCAATAAGAAATTTTTACGAAAAAAGTTCATCATACTATCATGTTGAAATAAAAAAGAAAATATAGTAAAACTTTCTCATTGAATTTGATGCCTGACTTTTTCTTATGCAGTTCGATGTGCTTTCTACAACCTTCATGAAAAACAATAAAAGGATCTTTCGAAACTTTGAATTGTGGGAACAACTTATATATATGGCCAACAGCTTAAAGTTCGAATATCTTCATGCAGACACGCCATAAGTACATCATATTTTAGATTTATAGGTTTGTCAGTGAGATCTTTAATTTGGCCCGAATATTTTCAAGGTTTTTAAGCTACATTACACGACCTTTCATCGTCAGAAAAAAAATAATACAAAGCATTTCTATAGTTTAATGATATTCCTTCATGGCACAGAAAGCAAGTGTCAATAATATTAATTTGCATAAAAATTATTGAAACGGATCATTATTAATAAAGAACGAAAAGAAAGAGTATAAATAATATATATTATTAATGTATCTAAATTTTAAAAATTTTCATCGGTGAACAATTTCTTCTTAAGAGATTCTTATTAATTAATGATAGTCTCTATGATGATAAACTACTGATGAAAACATCTACATTTTTCGATTCAATAAGAAATTTCATTATATATTTCATGTTCTTACACAATCATTAGGATTTTATCACTTTGTTCAAGTCATGATCATGATAGTACTGAAGTTTGTGAAATGTTCAGATGAAATAAGGAAATAGTTCCTGATTCGTAATGTGTAAAAATTCTATTCGTGAAAGAAACATAGTTATTATCGTATCAACCCAGTCTGGATCAAACGTGCACAGTAAACTAAAAGGGAGCATTGGGTTTTGCTTCAATAAATTCGAAGATTAGGTGAAACGAGCATAAACAATTATTGGCACACTACGGGCTGAATGAATCAGGAACAAATGAACTAATGTTGAGACCTACTCGCTAAATCTCTTTGTATCCCTTTTCTATTTGCTCACTTTTTTCATTGTTACATCCCTCTATACATATCTATTCTCTCTAAATTCAACGGTAATGCATTATAGGGAAAAAATGCATCATAAAAAACAAGAAATTTGCTGCGAGTTAAACATAACATTTCATCGAATAAAATATTTTTAGAAACTCTTCTCTACCAGTTCTAAAAAAAATTTTGTAAGGTTGACGCATCATTGTCGAGAATAAGAAAAAAAAAGGCGTAATTTGTGAGCAAATGAAAATACAATCATACACTTGTTTCGCTCTATCAAAACTTCGTAAGATGTTGTTTTTTTTCTTTGTGTGCTTTGTCATTCACTGGTTTCTTTTTCAATCAAATAAACATAAAACGCAAATAAGTTCACATTGAAATTCATCGTATAGCATATAGATACAAGTTAAAATTAAAAAATGGTCAATGCAATCGCCGATTCATCTGATAAAACTATGTCAACTGCAATCATTGTTATTATTGTGATTATTTCAGTGCTTAGTCTTATCTTCTTTATTGGATGCATTATGAGCATTATATGTCTAATCAATCGCTGTAATCGACCCAGTAATGCAATGCGAGGTGGTCAAGTTCATCAGCCACATCTATCAAATGTTCCAAACTATTCACCAGAATATCCACCACCATATTCAGCACTCTATCCATTTCATTCTTCTTCCGGACCAGACTTTACAAAATTACCTACACCCTAAATATATCATTGATAAACATTCGTTATATCCCACAAGACAAACATGTTCTTTTCCTCTACAAAAATATTTTTTTATTCTTGTGAATGTACATTTATAAATGGTATTGATGATTTCGGTTATCTTTATTCTTGGAAACATTGCGTGCTGTTTTTATTTTTACGAACGAAGTATATAAAAACATGTTATTATAAATAGAAAAGCAACTCCGTTCATGATAATTTGATTGATCATAAAAGACATTGCAACCTATGCCTTTAGCATCTTTTTACACGTTTAATGCATTTTTTTTGTCCGAAGAAATACACATAGAAAATGAGGAACAGTATTGAATTTACTTTTTGATTCATCTCGTATAGAAGAAGACAAGAAAAACAGACTCCTTAAATACAAAAACAAAAGCATTGAATTTTCTTTTTGCCATATCAGAGATTCATGAAAAAAATCTTTTAAGTGTGTAGATTAAACTTCTCACCACAATAAAAGTTTCCACAGCTTCTCAACTATCTGAATATTCAAATACTTTAATTGAGGGGAAGGCTTATATTACGAAGAAACTATGAATACAACTTTCTGTGTGCGTATTACTAAAGAGAAGACTTAGATACTCACACCCACATCCCATATCACGATATTACAAGCAGAAGAAATATGCTTTTTTAAATTGTAATGATGTTCAAATTCTGTTTTCAGACAATGTAGCAGTGACAGAGTACATAGTGATCATGATCTCGGATATTCAAGAAAAATGATGATGAGCTCTAAATATTCTTGTTAATCATGAGTATTCAACATCTGTACAACCATTCTTTACAGAAAAGTGGTACTTGACCAAAGCGGAATCCCATTTCAAGAAAGAAGAAGTGTGGATATTTTTTGAGTAATTTTTGATAGACACTAAAGGGTGGTTCAAAAATTTCAACCGTTTTCTGTAAATTGACATTATCTATATCAAATATATATAGATAGTTGATTCAAATACACCGTTTGTAGAGAATGAGAAGAGCTATCATTTGAAAAAAATGGTTCAAGTTATGTCGTAGTTATAAATCTTTGAAGCGAAATATCATTTTCTAGGCATTTTTATATGGTTCGATAGAGTTCGTCAGCTCTACAAGAATATGAATATTAAAAACAATTCTGATGCTCTTTCCCGTACAAAACTTGGAAGAAAACAGAAAGCCTGATAAAAATCTCACATGTATTGTATTAGAGAGTGTGCTGAATTCTGAATAACTTTAGAAGATCGGCTATTCCGTCTGTTCATGAAGCTCAGAAAGGTTTTTTAGCTTCATAATGTGACACTGCATCTCGACACCTAAATTAGCAGTCTATCAGCTAAAATTATTTTAAGTCAAGCATACTCTCTAATGCAAGATATGTAAAATTTTTGGTAATCTTTCAGATTTTCTCGAAGCTTTCTACTGAAAAGAGCGTCAATTTTTTTTGTTTTAATATTCATATATTCTTGCAGAGTTAGTCGAATTCTCTCCAAGCATACAATAATTTCTAGTACAAACATATATAGAAAAGAATGCTTCATTTGACTTTAGTGACTCAAACATTACAGAATTTCTTTATCATCTACATCCCCACACCATCAAATAATGGAAAAATATCCAAAATGGTTGATATGAAGATATCATAACCGTTATTAGAACAGGTATAACTTTGAAAATAAATAACATGGAAAAGTCAGGCTTGTGTAGATTTTTAGATCATCAGTTGGCAGATCTAAGAAATTCTGTATGATTGAAACTCAATTCAATCATCATAGAGTTTTGATTCTTTGTTTCGAAGAGTATTGATTGACTATTGGACTAGGAGCCAATATTGTTGAATGCTTTGTAAAATTATACAGTGACACAACCACTGGTCAAACAGTGAAAACTGCAGCTCTTTATGTAATTTCTATCAAAAGTTATTCTAAAAATACCAACACTTTTTCTTTTTTGAAATAGATATTAATTAGGAAACGAAAACTCATTCAAAAAAAAAATTACTACTTTAATATATATATGAAAATGTTATTCTTCTGTGAGACTCTATCTAATATATCATTTGATAATACCTTTTTATAAATGTTTTCAATGTTGGGTTCATGAGTGCTGAGAATTCTTTAGAAGTTTCGAATGAGGAAGATAGCTATCTTATTTGTTCATCGTCACCAGATACAAATATCTAGTGCATTATCTCTGTAAAGTATACATGATCAATCTAACTGATGAGATGTCGTTCCATTTATTTTAGTGTTTATAAAACTGTTTTAGTCTCGATATACTTTGATGATTAAGTCGACTGTTTCATGTGTTTAATTTGTTAATCATCTATAAAGCTACAGATTAATTTCATAGATTAGTTTTAAATCGTAAATAATTTGAAATAGTGTATTTTTCTCGTGATTTTTCTTTGATGTTTCGAAAAAAAATAAAAATAACAATAATCCAATGAATATTATATTTTAGTGATTCTAGGTCAAAGTCGAGAATGTACCCGATATTTTCTTACCTTATGATATTTTTTTTTTATACGAAGAACGAAAAAATTGTGATTACCTCTCGCTTTACATATATACACTCTTATCTATTCACGTAGATTAGTTTAATCAACAGATAACCTTAAAGAAATAATAGACCAGTAAACAACAGGCAGAATACAACATCTGCAGGGCAAGGTTTTCTTTTTTGCCATCATCCCTTGAGAATTATTGAAAACTTTTGTATGTATATTACATATTTACATGCTTCTTGTCCTTTCGTTATAGATATCCTTTATTCATCCATGAGATATACATATTTCGTTTTGAATGCTAAGCAAACAAATATCTGACATGTTAGAGCGGAGATACAGTATCTGTTCGCGTGTGCAAGTGTCCGTTCTGAAAAATTTTTGTCAGTCTGAGAAAATTTTTGAAAAAAAATTGTGATTGGAAAAATTGTTTTTGAATTTATTGTCTCTGTATGTTTGTTCAAAACTATTGAAACTGTGTAAATTCTTCGAGTTATTTTCTCGTTCAGAGAACTCATGCCTTTTTACGACAGATTCTGCATCTGTGTTAGAGACATACAGAATGTACCCAGATAAATGTCTGTTGCTAAAGTATATACTGATAAAACGATGGCTGCCGAATAGAATACACTAGTAAATAAAAAGCAAATACAATGAATCATAAATATTTATTGAATTGGTCTCTTGTTCTTCCTTTTTACAAGGTTTATCTGAATGAATATGATGAAGACTATTTTTTTCTTTTTTCTTTCTTCGTATTGTCGATTACTATCTCAGTCAATTCATTGATAGAGGAATAAAATGAAGGCAAAAACATGTCTGAGAGGTCTATGGGTACAAAATATAGTTTTATTCTCTTTTCTCTCTTTCATAGTGAGAACAGGAACGGTTATTTATTATTTTTGTTTATTAATAGTAACGTCTATCTCTCTATGGTCTACACGGTGATACATATATATACAGAAAATCAAAACGAGTTTTTTTAACCTCTATCGAATGTCTCGTAAAACAATAGCAACAAACACTATTAATAGTGTCGATGCTCCATTTTTATCAATTGATTCTAAATTAATGGAGTCTTTACAAAACTCAGCACATTGTTCAACAAATACTCATGCTAATAATAATAATTATTATTATTATTACAATAATTCATTAATTGGTCAACATCAAACATCTTCACATTTACATGATTTATTTTATATAAAAGATAGAAATAAGAGTAATAATAATTATCAACATCAACAACGTATGTGTTCTTGTTCAGAAAATAGTTCAACGTCATCTGATATTGATACATTATTACAGTTTGATTCCAACTTTGGTTCTAATTTGTCCAATGCCCGTCAACGCTGTAGTACGTGTAGTTCAAATACATCATCATCCGGTATATGCAGTGCATTTTCTGACGTCGAACGTGAAGAAGGTACATCCGTGATATCAGAAGATCTTGATTTTAATCTTGGTTTTGATCAAATTAGTGATAATGATGACTTTGAAGAAGATAATCTGGATGAAATCGATAAATATGAACAAAATGAAGAAGATAATCAACGAATCTCAAATAAGAACAGTAGTAGTACATCAAAATAAAATAAATTTCTCTTTTCTATTATTTTTCTTTAAAGATACATCAACATTACTTGATTTCACTAAATCAAAGTCAGATGCAGGTATGAATGAATTAAACGGATTTCTTCATAAATCTTATACTTCAACAACTCTTAATGATAATGTTATATTTAATAATGATGATACAATAATAGATAATCAAATAAAACAAGAAAAACATGCATCGTTATCACATGATTCAACAAATACATTGTGTTCATTAGATCGGTTTGCAATGTATACGGAAAATGATGATCATGAAAACGATAAAACATTAAATACTATTTTTACACGTTTCAATTCATTGGGTATTCCTATATTAGATAGAAAATCAGCTTTATTGGATAAACCACCAAAAAAAGTTGTACGATTCGCTGATATGTTGGTATGTTTTACATATTGTATGAGTAGAAAACAACAATGTTCCTTTACATAAAATACGAAAAAATTATTTAAAAATTGTGTGAATGAAATTAGAGGGGTACAAGGTCAAGAATAGTTGTAATTAGCGCATGGTAGGGTAGAGCCAAAGTATTCAGGAAAGTCAGATGAATATAACATGGGGCTTACAAGACAATTAGACCCTCACCTTACCCTGGAACGTAGAGAAGAATTAAGATAAGAAAAAATGTGGGCTAGAAAAAGGTCGTAGGTACTATAGCGTCTGTTACATGCAACGCATGATAGATACAGAATATAGGAGGAGCAGGATGAAGAAAAATTCCACAGAGTAGAGGAAGAGTATGAAGAAAAGCTTACATTGCACATCTCTAAATGAATTGAAATGAAGATAGATGTCCTCACATGCATCCTTATAATTTATGAGAAAATTTTATGATCTTCGAAAAAATTTTACCTCATCCACGATCAGAATTTCGAAATGGATATCTATATTTGAGACTCACGCATTGTAACATATGTGTTTGCTAACGTGATTAATCGTGAAAGAACGACAGCTTTTTTTGATTCCCAATGAGTTCATACTCCATTATAATAAAAGAGAAACGGTCTTAAAATTTTGTATCGAAACTGAAACTATACCAATATAACCAACAAAAGTACAGTTATTCAATTTTCATTGACTTTTTTGAGATAGAAATTGATATTTTTCAGTAGAAATTTTATTGAATATAAATCTTGAAATATCATTCATTTTTCTAGCGGTGAAATGTAAAGAATTGTAGAGTATATATTTAACGCGTATTGCAACGCTGATGTACATTTGTCTGATGATGTGCGATACTCATAAACATGTGTTCTAGAGTTTTTTTTTTTTCATTTTTTCTCTTGCTATAATATCAAAATTTAATATAAAAATATCAAGTGTTCTTATACAAGGTGTCAAGTAGCTTTTTTATGGAAATCCATTAGAAGAAAAAAAGAGCACTAGAATCACTCGATATATCAGTCTTTCAGAGTTTGCTACAGCTGTTTCATTAATGAATATTAGAGCTCTTTGTAAATGGCTACTTCAACCTTCTCTCCGTTTTGATTTAATGACCACATTTGTCTAAACAGTTGAGATTTGGTCATTCCATGCTTCAAATTTATGTGCACTACCACCAATATATCGTCAGTAGGTTGCCGGTCGGAAAACAATCATAGGTATACCGCGATAGAATGGCGGTTAGAAAATATTGAACTACTGCCATTTGATTGTCAGTATATTGGTGGTTTTGATCACTAGTGATGAAAGGTAGTGATCTAGTGCAGATTATACCGAACAGTTTTTCGACATTTTACTGATGGTTTTTGTTCGGTTTGAATCACGCGAGCTGCCATATATAGTTTGCTCTGTTCGCTTTCGTTTTTGATTTAAAATTAAAGTAAAACAACTCTATATTTTTACTCTAAACTTTTCAGAAATTCAGAAAATTCAGAAAAAAAAGATGACAAAAAAAAGATTTGACTGAATGAATTGGTTTAGTGGATTTTTTTCGAAATATTATTATTTAGTTTTGTTTTATATTGCTTCTAATAAGAGAAAAACTTTATTGAAACTCGAATTCATTATATATCTATAGATGATATTTCGAAACTCATATAATATTCAGATATGTTCTAAGTTTTTGATATTAGATAATAAACAAAACTAATTCATGACTTAAGGATTGATTTGTTTTTTCTAAAACCTATAGTCATTCCTAACATTTAATTTTTAGTGAAATGTGCAATGAATATCATTTGTAAAATATTCGATATTATATTTATTTGTTATTTTTAGGGCCTTGATCTGGAATCTATTCATTATATGACTCCACCAGATCAAGCAGCAAATTCACTTATTCAAGAGTGTATTCGTAATAAACTGGAACAATCATGGTTAGTTAAAAGTCAGTCAAATCTAGTATCTTCATCTCCATGTCCTTTTGATCTGTCAAATGGTTTTCATCGATCATCTTTATCTGCATCTTTTACTGTCTCTAAGAGATCAACAAATCAATATTATTTAGTTTCAAAATGTTTTACTTCTCCAAAAAATATAATCCCATTAATATACCAACGACAAGTAATGCTTGAATGTTTATATACACAAGATTCACTGGTATATGGAACAGTTCGTGTCCATATTTGTACTAATGAAAAACGTGTCTTTGTTCGTATAAGTGAAAATGATTGGAAAACATTTGAAGATATTTATGGATGTCATTCAATGTATTATTCAAATGATAATACAGATACATTTACATTTGAAATACGTCTAAAAAAATATGATGATAATATAAAAGTACCTAAACAAATTTATTTTGCTATTTGTTTACAAAGCAACAATCAAGAATTTTGGGATAATAACCTTGGACGAAATTATGTATTAGATGTACTTGAAAGGTAAAACAAAAAAGATCTAAGAATGACACTGATTTTGTTTCTATTAATATTAAATTTTCTTATATAAAATCGGTTGATAGTCTACTTCTTCGTACTGCTCATTTATATCTACTTCAGTCAGTCAAAAAGATGTCAGAATTCAAAGGATCTATCTATTCATAGAAAAGGTATTCCATTTATTCATCTACATTACCCATTTGAAGTAATTGTAGCGATATTTAATACAAAGTTTCATCCTTCTAATACACTTTTAAGACATGTTGTCAAAGATCAGAATAGATACCGAATTTTGTTCCTTGGTTAGTATCATAATTACACTGATTCTTTAAATCTTAAACATTTCACGAATTTAATTTCCATGTAAGACTAAAGAATAATAATAATAATCCTGCTCTTTGATTATCTTGCTTTATAGAATACTACTTAGCAGCAGAGTCTTACCACGATATGTTCCTTACAACTGATTCTAGCCGTAGTTCTGAATGGAAGGTCAGTTTGATGCAGAGCTCTTGTGCTCATGGATGGATGATCCGAGATAAACAAGCGTTAGTGACTTCTTCAGGATCATTCCATGGCTGGTAATACCGAGCTTTGAACACAATAAGTATTTAATACATGTCGAGCAACTGAACGACTCATCCATGATGACTAGATGTAAGAATATAGAATGATCCAATAGTTAGTTTTAAGACGGGGATTTATCGTGACTATATAAAGACGTAATCATGATCACGAGAGAAAAAAACTTATCGAGTGTCATTCACGAGTAACAACATCAAAAAACAATAGTGTATGCCGTTCTTTTCATTATAGCTGAATTTTAACATGTTATAAGGTGTTTTCAACAGTAGCTAGGAAAAACAGACAACAGTTGCTCATGCGAACACTTTCTCGCTGCACGAACTTTCACAAGAATTTGGAATAAGATAATGAAATGCATCACTACAAAAAATTAACGACTTATGAGAAAATTCTAATATTATGAAAGTTGTATGCAACAAAACATATTTATATATAAGCCGCACACACTAACAAAATAATCTCATTAAAAGCAATTATGTCAGTTACTACATAAGAAACTTCTAAAAGCGCTTTTGTATCAATATACCACGGCTTTCATATATAATTGATCGGAACGGTGACAAAAAAGTCTTTGGAACTCTGAATACTCTACAAAATATGCATGTTATGAATAGTTAAAGTGTAGATGTGTATGACGAGAAGATTCACATACACACTTTTCGCGAGCAACTGTCTTAGACTCAGTAGCTAGTAATACGATCTATTATCAAAATGAATGTCTAAAAGCTTCACTTAACAAATTATCCAACAATAAAGTATGATCCTAATCAAACTGTATTATTTTCTATTATGGTCACATTTTGTAATAGGAATATTATTTTTATGCGCACATTTCAACTAAATATTTATTACACCATTAATTATTTTCTACTTTTTAGACAATAAAAATACAAGTGAATCAATTAACAATAAAAACTATATGAACATTGCCCAAAGTCGAGTTACATGTGTAGCGTGCATCGCTTTTTCTTATCAATATTTTTCTTTTCTTCTTTGTTTTTTTGCATGGTGATACATCCTCTTTCTAGTTTGTTATTTTTCTCTTGTACATTTGTTTTTCGTTGGTTTTGTGAAAATACTACATGTCTTTCTTATCGTTTTTTTATTTTCGTCTTTTTTTTGCTATTTACTAGTGTATATATGTCAGTGAGTGAAGTTAATTACGAGAGATAAAAAACTTGCTACTATGCCTATGTGTGCGTCTACTATTTATCTGATTTGATATGCTCATTTCTTTTGCGGAAAAATTAGTCATGTAAGTGTGTACCATAATCATTAACAACCTTGTTAAGTATGTACGCCGGATTTTTTTTTCTTCAGTAATGAAACTTCAATAAATTTTATTCTATACATCTGCTTGTATATATAGGAATTCTTTGAAAATCGTATAATTGAAGAGAATCACAAATAGAGATGTCGAGTAGGATATAACATTACAACATTCGGTATTTGGAAAATATCTCGATACAGATAAATCGTACATTTGTTCTTTTTTTTCAAATGTATGATGTAAAATTCTCTACAGAAATGATAATCAGAAATCCTATCGACTGAATGTTGCCTCAATTTCCTCTATGTGATTAAGATATGCAGCGACTGTGGTTGGCTTTAAAGTTGGCATCAATCGTTATGCTAACTGCCAAACGTCACTTGAATGAAATTACATATGTGTTCCTCGCAAGTTATTCTCCATACTAGCCTAGACTTGTTCGATTGGTTTGAGCAAACAGTGCTTCACAGACGAGCTACAACAAAGGTCACAACACGTCAAGACGACAGCTATTGCAAGTGTGTATGTGAAATAAATATGGATGTCGATGTGCGTAAATGTTCTGAATAAGAGAATCACATCCATACTCTTATAGCTTAGAATTTAGAGCCTAAAAATGTTATTAAGGTGTGAGACTTTGTGTTTTAGTTGCAATATAGTATGTTTATTAATAGATATACTTGATAATTACAAAACGTATTCGTAACCAGCAGTTCACTTCTATTGAGGATGACTAAGAATATGATTGGCGATTGAATCATGAATTTTTCAGAAAATGGATGGATCAACTTGGTTGTTACTTAGATTTGATGCTTCTTTTTGTCTCTGTTTAAGATATCAGTAATTCCACAAAAATGATGTCGACTGGTTATTAAGTAAAAGACTGAATGTGATTTGTCATAAAAAAAACTTTTTTCCTGTATTACATTGAAATCAATGATTTCAGTATTTCGAAGCATTTGTAACATGGTATATTCTTATTTTGCTTTACTGTTAAAAATCGATTGAAATATTATTTTCAATCCTAATCACAGGTTGTTGTTCATAGAAATAACAAGAAACAAAACAATTATGATGCAAAAGTAATTTCTGTTTAATGTGGACCAACTGTGAATTATATTTCGCTCTATCGCGAAAAAATTTCATGTTTATTAAAAATAACAGTATAAATAATTCTGATAATGGTAATGTCATTTAAAAAGTTTTGAAAACATAGATCTTCTTTTCTTCGACTAATCTGATATTGTTTTCTCTTTAACAGGAGATTTGATTTCAATATGTTCAATAGCAGATTTACTCATTGATAAATCACGTTCATTTTCGACTCGTATCATAAAATTATTCATTGTTTTACCTCCTAATTGTATTTGAAATGGTAAAGAATTCGGTTGATTTTTCATTGTAACTGAGGCACTGCCAGGCAAAAAATTATCATTTTTTTGTTGCTAAGTATATTGATCATCATCATCATCACTATTATATGTATTAGAATTATTATTAGAAATCATTTTAACATGATGAGGAGCAGCTTTACTTATTGATAGACCACGTTCATTTTCAACTCGTCTCATAAAATTATTTAAATTCTCACCGCCAGACAGAACACGAAGTGGCACTGAGTTCAGTTGATTAACCATTCGAATATTAGTATTATTCGGTATAAAAATCGAATTATTCTTCTTTGAAATTAATGGATCAATCTGAGCTTTGGTGCAAATTTCTTGCCAAATAGTAAGACGTGGCTTATGTATTACATGTGGATAGACAACTCGATAAATACCAGATTTAAAACGATTTTTGGTAAGAATACTTGCCGCTTCACCTAACCATATGACACCAATAGAATGTTGATCAAGTGCAGAGTTATTCGGTCCATCAACCCATTTATCTTGTAATTGATCCTGCAGTTGAAGGCCTTCACATGTAGATAGAATACTTAATGAAAAAAGACCTGGATCAAAATGTGGAACACAATTGACTTCATCTGTATTTAGACCGATTTTAGGCTGCTTTTTAGGTCCTGATTTTCTATTGTAATAATTTACAATATCAAGCATACCAAACGGAGATAATTCTACTATCTTATCACTAGAATTTTGTACACATATGGGCATTTTGAACATGACATTTTTTAAAACACTAGTTAAATTATTAAGTAATGTTGCAGATATTGTAACACTTGTTCTACATCATTTGTTAAACGATGGTGAAAATTCTTAAGACCATTTTGATCAATAAGTACTTTAATACCTTCTTTATAACCGACACGTGAATAGCCAAAGGCATTATATGATTCATATTGGGACTTTTCAGTTTGATTTTGAGCATAAAAAAACCGAGAGTATGGTTTGTATTTCGTTGAGCTTATTAGTTAGTTCGCCATGTTTGTCGGGTAATCGAATAAAGCACCAACCATGAGATTCAAATTCATTTTGTAAATGATGTATTTCACTTGAATCGCCAAATAAGAGTTTGTCAAAATCGACAAGCGTATGGTTGTTAAAACTCTGTTTAGCTGCCATGAAAGCGATCGATGAAGAAAAAATAATGATGCAGTGTGTGTAACGACAACGCACCGCTCTTCATCTCTGTAAAAACTTGAGACATTATTCTAATGAGTTACTGCTCAACTAAAAGAAAGAATGAATCATAGGCTTTTATGACTTATTATCAGATTTCTTTCAACAACATATGAATCAATGTTATTCTTACATGCCAAACATTTACTTGGCCTATGTGACTTGAGAGTAGATTAGGTTGTTTTAGTTAGAACAAATTTGTAAATTTTCCTACGCAAAACAGTTGTAAATATTATGGATATGTTCAGTGAAATAGTATAACAATTCTATTGCGAGCACCCAAGTCAATATTTCTGATCTCGGAATATGGCAGAAATTTGAAAATCATCTGTTTTGCAATTAATGCCTGCTTCATTTCTATCGAGGACGGCCGAAAACATACACAGAAAATATAAGCAGTATTCTCATGGGATAATTACCGTACAGGAACCGAGCACTTCCAAACATTTCTCATCATCTGAATCAAAATGGCAGTATACTGTATCTAAGCGACAATGAGAGGGGCTTATTGAAAGAAAAATCAGAAATTAGTTGTATCCATGTAGAACCGTAACGCACTTGGATCATAATCTCGTGGACACATACCACAAATAGTCATATCCGCCAATAACCTGAAAATGTCTTTTCTATTAAACTATCGATCAAAGTCTGAAAAATAGTTTCTCAATATGCTAAATGTCAAATAAAGATTGTTTAAAATCCTTTTTTTATTAAACAAGTCATTTGAATTTCAGAAATACTTGGTAAATAAGATTTCTATCGATGCAAGATTGTCAAAGCTCTTTTCAGACCACAAAAGGTTTCTGGTGATGAATATTACCAAGTGTGAAGTTACAAATTGAGAAAGAACTTTGAGAGACCTTTGTTCTATTTAGAACTTGGTGTTGTCTTTCATTAATTACTATCAGTCAATATGTTTAATAAAAAAGTACGTTCAAAGCTTTTTTTATAAGAAATTCACAACTGTAATGAAAAAGACAGATTGCATGCCAATAGTAGGCAGAAAACTGTGTCACAACTCTTTTTTCTTATAG